AGCACACTGCACTTTCATTCTACACAAGAGTTTTACTCTTACCAGATCTTATTTCTGGGCACTGCTTTTATTGTTAGTACAAGTTCTGCAGATGCAAAAGCAGCAAAGCAACTGTGAAAAGGATGAAAAACCCATTTCCAGTACTTTTCAACTCTTTCAATGTCTATGAACTGATCAAAAGAAGTCTGAGCAACTGATGGTCAAGTTATTAAACTGCGAGTACATTCTATGGTTGATACCCTCCAAAAATACAACTTTTGCAGATCAGATTTGCAGAACATGTTTTAAGACATTATCACCAGCTGCACTTCGGTAGTTTTTAATGTTTCCTCTTTTCCTTGTATAAGGGAATTAACTAATGTTAATTTTTATATTTTGCCTAATAACAAATAATAAAACAGTTGTGTCAAAAAATAATAAAAAAATCAAATGGTTACCATCAGTGTATCTACAGTAAGGAATTTAAGGTTCCTGTACATAATGAAGCTGCCATACAATTCCCATTTCCTTCAAATTTGTGAGCTTTAAGAATAACAGAAAGAACAAAATGTTTGTCTTCCTTTTTTTTGTACCAGCTTGTGACAGTAAATAGCAACATGGACCAAGATATTACAAATTATGAAAGCTGGAACACAGCAGTCACATTTTTATGAGCTCTGTTTATGAAGTACTATGAAGATACTAATAAACAACTACTCAAGAGCTTCTCATTATGAAGCTCAGAAAGTCATTACAACCATGTATCATATATATCTACACAACTACACCTAACCACATCCAGTGGTCTCAAACACAGTACACATGCCGTATAAAACTTGCATAGCATCTATTTTTAACTCTGAATGAGTTATTACTTTGGAGAAACCTTAGGAAATATGAAAAATATAATTACCGAAGTCTGAACATTGTTATTATACAGCTAATAAGGTGCTGCAAAAAGATACAAAAACGAGCTTGAGTTCTGAAATGAGTGGAACAATCTTAAAGCTTCTGTGAAGGTAAAAATCAAAGCACAAAGCAGCAACATCAAGCTCTGGCAAATGAACTGGGTTCAACTTCTTCAGGCAGGGGAAAGGAAACACACACAGTCCTGCATTAAGAACAGCCAAGTTTACATCACGAATACCAGCTTCCGGGTGTATTAGTGCAGCTCACTCATTTACTGGTAATGAAAGACAGAACCAGCAAACCATATAGGAGAGTCATCTTACCATTTGTTTTTGGCTTTCCTCGGTGCTGTCCAGAATCAGAGCAGTGTAGCAGTGTGCTTGGGTGGGCAGAGGATTTATTTGAAGAAATACATTTTGTGACAACCGATTTTTCAGGAGAAAGCTCCTGCGAAATATCTGTGTTTTCTTCACTGCCAGAGTATTCTGTAAAATTGTAAGAAGTGTTATTATTAGAAATCTGTGGTCAAGAAAAGTTGACAGAAGAAAAAAAAAAAACCAGCACCAGGCATGTATAATTCACTGAGACAGTTTCCACTTCGATATGCTAGGACTCTAGGACTTCACTATGTTGCTGAAAGATCTACAAGCTTTCTAGAGGCAACTGTCTGAACCAGAAAAATCTTCTGCAGCTCAGTCATCCTTCACTGCTGAGATGGGTCAGGAAGGCTGAGAACACTGGTTACTTAAACCTAACTATTCTTCAGAATAAGTACGTCTACAAATGCTTTTGCATTACAGGCACTTCTACACAAGTAGTGTTAGCTGGAGACCTCTCTCTCATATCCCACTGTTATTCACATGGGCTGCACACATTCCCTGTCTCACAGACTACAAAGTGGACAAAAAGCATCTCTTCTATTATTTTCTTAGTGTATGTATGGAACAGGATGCACAGGTGGAAAATAAAAGCCCTGATTAGGAACATGTGGAGAAGACACCTGGACCAGTTCCTCTGAAGTACCCGTTTGTCACATCCTGGACTGTACAGTACCCTCCAGTCACCTATCTGGAGAAAACCCTCAAAGTTCCAGGACTGAAGAACAAGGGAAACATCACAAAAAGGCAAGCAACATTTTAAAACTGTGAACAAGCAGTTTGCAGGTACCATTTGTGCAACTATTGTGTAAATTTACAAATTACACTTTGCATATTATCATTGTATTTCAGGGCACATCAGAAAGTCACTAAAATGATCTGTTTCAGTACAATTCTGCACCAGTCTGCCTGTGGTTCTTTCTTCCCCTCTACTCTCTCATGACAGCTTGCCCTATTTCTTCATGGCAGAAAAAAAGCTAAGGTATTTTCTTTCCCATCTCAGAAACTCCTCTGTAGGAAGCTCTACTTTAACACATTACGCATGCCAGATTGAAATGTGCTGCATTAATGATCCTAGACATCCATCAATGGCAGAGAAAGTTGCCACACTTGATCTGTAAACATTTCACTACAGAAATCTTTCAGAATCAATTGCAATTTTCAGAAGTGAAGAATCCAATCACCGTAACACCTCAGCCTGCATATGAAGTTCAAAGTGTAAAGTGGCCCGAGGAAAGCACTGCCAACTTCTGTAGATGAAAACAGCAGAGAAGACATGTTCCTACTACAACCCTATCAACGTAGGTGGAACAGAACGTTACGAGACACAACAGAAGGACACAGCATGAGTAGAGACTTTAGTTCAGGCTTTTACTTCATCTCTCCAGGAGACGACAGATCTATCCTTCAGGAAAAATATTTAGGATGTGACAGGTTTCACAGAGCTTATTGTCACAGCCTCTAAAATCCCATACTAAATGAAGAAATAACAAGGCTAATGGCTGAAAAAGAGGACTCATCAACATTTCCAAACTCCATTGTTCATGCAGGAGCCCCTAAACTAACTCACATAATTGAGAACATCTGGTACACAGGGTACTTGGTAATAAATCAGTGGAATCTGCACCCTTAACTGGGTAAAACTTGCATATAAGTACACTTGCTAATGGAAAGCCAGACTTAAAAGAATGGCATAGCTGTTTTGGAGTTTGATTTATTCTGTGCCATTACAAGCACTACTATAGCAGTCATCCACCATTCATGATGCCCCTCAGCCAGGAAATAAATTATCTTGCCCATCATAATTTAATATTAATCACTTAATAAAATCAGAACAAAAAAAGCACTTATCTGCAATGCCCACTCTTAAGAACGTGGAACTGGGTAACAAGCAAAACAAAATAATGAAGCCATTTTCTTCTACAGAAGAAAAAAAAGCTTTACCAGGCTTAGTTCTCTTTTTCTTTTTTTTCTTTTTCTTTGACTTGGACCTTCCGTAGTCTTTGGATTTTCTTTCTTTGTTCTTCTCATTTTCTTTAACAGCTGAAATTAGAAAACATTCCAACTCAATTTAAGATATATACACAGTAAGATTTAAGATATATACACAGTAGAATTACTTATTAATTTTCTTAAAGACCTCCACGGTTTCTTTGGATAATCAAGGCCAGTTCACTGCAAAAACACAAACAACTTATTTGTAAGAATCCCCAACTCTCATAACTGGAATGGTCTGGTTTAAGTCTTAATTTGATTGTCCCATAACAAAGTTACAATAGCATGTGGGAGAAATCAACTGTACACCAATGCCCATTTACTACTTACGTGCTTCAGAGTACTAGAAAAGAAAATAGTGGGGGATTTGTTGTATACATTTCCTAAATTATTATGTATGACCGAACATTTCAGTAGCATTGCAACAGAAATCTGACAAGAACAAAATTCCAACCCCCCCAAGCTCTACTACAGTTCCTCAGTCAGGTATTTTGTTTTCATTGAAGATGGAGTAACAACTGGTTCAGCTGGCTTTAACTGCTATTCTCTCACCCTATTTTTATGGAAATAAAAAACCCACCATAATTGTTGAATGATTGGGTGATATCCTTCAATCAAGTTCATCCTCCAAGCACGCTGCTTGCCATGAAGTATAACCTCACTGCAAGGTAATGTGCACAAGCCCTTGCCTTCCATGTCCTAGCACTTGTTTACAACTCCTGCCTTTCAGATTTAGGTCTCTGCAGCAGAATTTCTAGATACTTACACAGTTCCTTAAGCAAGTTATCCTGACTCAGCCAAGACCTAAGCCCTCTCAATTTCCTTGAATGGCAGAGAGACTGATGAGGGCCAGGGTGAGTACGCAGTCACATCCTCCACAACCACTGTGGAAGTTTGTTAATCTCTACATGCCACGCTCTCAAAAAAGGAACATCCCACTGAGTCAGCTCAATGAAGAGACACTAACGGATTTCGCCCTTTCTACAAGGGAAGGCAGCAAAGGACGCCCAAGGATAAACAGGGGAACAGAACAACAGTGACCGGCAAGGACAGGGATCTTCTCAAGACCATCTCCAGAACAAAGATCACCTGTCACAGATAGACCAGTCCGAGCACAGGGGTTTTTTGTGTTTTCCCCATCACTGTGACTTAAATTCTCACCGTATATCTGAAGGAAAGCGGAAGTTATTTATGTATTCTTTATATAAATAAAATATATATTTAAA